GGGGGGGGGGGGGGGGGTAGAGCACAGTATTGAGCATTTGGTCGTGCGTGCACGCTTTGAAAGTTGAACAGTTTAACAATAACTCTTTTGGACATTGAACCCCGGTCAATATATCGTAAACATCTGCCAGCTCGTGCAGCCCATCAGATTTTAGGAAATAAAAAATATTACCAGGCATGCACAAATAAAAAATAAAAAGAATTATGAACTTCAAGGTTTTGTAAAGTTATAATATATATACCTATTTCTTCTAGGCAAAAGAAATCATAAATGACTTGAAAATCACGACTTTCTTTAGATCCTTCAGTAGTTTCACATTTGTCTAATAACTTCTTCGCCATTTCAGGCATAGTTTCAATCATTAGTTTCAAACACCCTTCAGGGCCGTGATGTGACCCACTTACCACCTAAAAATTTAAAGGAATCTGAATTTCGTCCAATAAGTCGTGGCCAGTGAGTTCTTTGCGATGCAGTGATGGGAGGAGGCGGGTGGGGGGGGGGGTTGGATTCGCGTAAAGGAAAACAAAAGAAAAAATCATGCAAAGAAGGAAAGCAAAGAAAAGTATTATTTTTACCTCTTTCCAGACTTTATTATCAAGGAAAACCTGAACAACTTCTGGAGAATCGCTTGAGATAGCCCAATCAAATGCCGTAAGTTCAAGTTTATCTTGAATCGCACAATCCGCATTTTTAGAGAGTAGATATGCGACTGTGGTAGGGAAGTTGTTTTGAGCTGACAATAATAATGATGATCGAAGAGATTTATCGATGACATTAATAAAATCTGGATTTTCCCTTAACAGTAGTGTGACGTTATTTTTTAAACCTTTACTTGCAGCTATATGGAGTGCTAGTTGATCATTCGCGTCCCTATAAGAGCAACAAAGACATTGTTATATTCCGCAGACTATAAATTTAAGTAATTCACTTATACTCAGTTGGATATAGGAAAAATATGAGAACTCATGGCCTAACAAACCTGTTGCCCCAATAATTATTTGTGGATATTCATTGCAAAACCCGTTAAAGTAGTGATCAGTGTAGAAGAAATAGTCAAATATTTGAGGTTTTTGCGACAGTATAAGCACCGAGTATACCAAAATACGGTATACAGTATATTGGTCAAGTACTGTACTGTATATATCGTGATGAAATGTTTATCTAGTACAAAGATTGAATTAATTAGGGTCTAAGTAGTGATTCAGATATAACCAAAATAAATATAGTTTAATAATTTCTTCAGACGTGTCAGGCAATCAAGATACAGCAAATAAAGTTCAGGTATGTATATACCATATAACTTACATAATTGTTGTATCACCTCCTTTAGATATTAAACATTCCAAAACATTGGACTGTTTTAGACTGGCAGCATAATGTAAAGGACTTTGCAACATACTGTCCACAGTGTTCACCAAGTCAGGATCTTTACTAAGAACAAACTTGACAACGACCACTGCTCTGCCTTTCACAGCCGAATGAAGGACTGATCTCTTTCCCATCGTCGTTTTTAACTTTATTAATGAATTGTCATATTCATGAAGCATTTCTAATGACTGGGAAAGAAAGATATTATGCAAAGTGAAGGTTGGGATCTGCAACTGCATAAGGATGGATTTCTTGATCGATCTTCTATTCAATATAATAGTTGCCATGCATTTGTGAGAATTTTTTAGTCATGAGTGCATGGAAGACATTTTTTATGTAATTTGAAGCAAAATCAGAAACCGATTTATTGGCTGCAACTATAATTGTCTCATCAGAGATTACATGAAAAACTAGAAAATAATAAGAAACATTTTGCTCCCATGAGCTTTTAGTTGGAAATATAGGCACTATGATATCATATTTAGGCTTTTGAAAAACAGGATTTTAATCAGTACGAAATCTATATATAGAGAATAATACCGTGGGTGCGCGGAAATACCAGATTTATTTCGAGTGTTGAACATGAGATCTCACGAGTGAGCGCATCTGTTTATTATATAAAGGACAGTCTTTGAAAAGCGATAATTTTTGCCGAAAAGCGATAAATGAAAAGCAATAATTTTCACATGTGAGATTATCATGAATAATCTCACATGGGAGATTATCACTTTTATCAGTGCTCGAAATCTCTATAAAGCACTATACTTTATATAATAAATAAGAATAAAAAATGTACTATATTTCACAGTAGGACAAAAATTAAATACAGCCATTTTCGTCCAAGCACAAACCGCAAACATTTTCGCGCGTTTGTTTACGTTTGAAACGGGGCGTTTACCGTTGGAAACGGACATGTTTCACTGCTCATTCGACATGTTACAGTGAAAAGCCTAATTCAGTTATTTTTCATGTTTTGATGTGCTTTCGTGTACTTTTCAGTATTTCCAAGCTCACGATATTGTAAGAGCGACCAAACTTGTTTATATTCATACTTTTTGTGACTAAAATGTATTATCATGGGCTTGGACATATTGAAACGTGCACGGAGGCACATCAAAACATGACAGTTGCGCCAAAAATAGCTTAAGGCTTTTCAATGTGACACGTCACATGAGCGGTGAAACATTTCAGTTTCCAACGGTAAACGCCCCGTTTCAAACGTAAACAAACGCGCGAAAATGTTTGCGGTTTGTGCTTGGACGAAAATGGCTGTAGAAAATGAGTAAAAAATTTATTACTATTGTCAACTGACTGATAGAAATCAATCACTGGTAAACTTGTCGAGATTTGTCGTTTAGCCTTATGCTGTGAAAATAATTAAAAGCTGATCTATACAGGCTACTACTTGAAGAGATGGAACACCATGCAAAACTTATTTTATAGTGAAAATAGTTTAGATATTTAATATAAATTGAGCGTATAAATACGCTGCTTATACCTCAATATTTGCAATGACAGCTGCACGATGAATTGGAGTTTCTCCTTCTTCATCTGCTTGATTTAGAGCCTCTTGAACAGATGTTTTCTGGACGAAAAATATATGATAAGATTTTATATTATATATATATATATATATATATATATATATATATATATATATATATATATATATATATCTTATATATATATATATATATATATATATATATATATTAAGATGAAAATGTTCTAGAGTGTGTATTATATAATTTCCATACCCAGTGCAAGCAGAAAGATGTTGTCTGCCGCGGCTGGGTCTTGAACCCGCGACCTTCGAATTACTAGATCGACGGTCTACCAACTGAGCTACACGGTCAGACGGATTTAAGACTGGAAATTATGAAATATATACTGAATGTCATAAGCATACTCGTTTATATTTATTCAGCATCGAACAATACTAGTTCTGCAAGTGTTATGTTAAGTTGTGTAATTGTACACTCCGTAATATGTTAAGATGAAAATGTTCTAGAGTGTGTATTATATAATTTCCATACCCAGCGCAAGCAGAAAGATGTTGTCTGCCGCGGCTGGGTCTTGAACCGCGACCTTCGAATTACTAGATCGACGCTCTACCAACAGAGCTACACGGTCAGACGAATTAATTAAGACTGGAAATTATGAAATATATACTGAATGTCATAAACATACTCGTTTATATTAATTCAGCATCGAACAATACTAGTTCTGCAAGTGTTATGTTAATTTCATAATTTCCAGTCTTAAATCCGTCTGACCGTGTAACTCAGTTGGTTGAGCGTCGATCTAGTAATTCGAAGGTCGCGGGTTCAAGACCCAGCCGCGGCAGACAACATCTTTCTGCTTGCGCTGGGTATGGAAATTATATAATACACACTCTAGAACATTTTCATCTTAACATATTACGGAGTGTACAATTACACAACTTAATATATATATATATATATATATATATATATATATATATATATATATATATATATATATATATATATATATATATATATATATATATATATATATATATATATATATATATATATATATATATATATATATATTAGATAACATCAGTGACTGCATAGCCATGATCACACACTGAGGTGTTACGTACGTGTTGTTTAAGGCGTCCATGAAGGAGCACTGTTCTTCACTGGAATGAGCGCTTAACCGATTGTGGCCTTGATTATACAAATAGACTTTAATTAAACACATGCATTAGCTCTTGAAACAATACAATATATTCCACAGAGATAAGATAATGCAGCCGAATGGAAACATAACACGCACGCACCGTACAATTTTCGCCTATTTTTTAGCCTTTTGTTACGTTGATTGGAATTTTCTAATTGGAGTGAACATCCGCTTATTGAAAGTAGCGCAGGTTTTAACGCAAGGGCCAGATATACCCAAACCGACACACTGACCGACTGACGCAAAAATATATAGATTACACGCACGACTATAGAAGAGGTATTCAAAGAAGAACTTTGAATAACATAGGAGAGGTATTCAAAGAAGAACTGTTCATATTATTCAAATTATGTTGGGAAGAAGAAAAAGCACCACAGGACTTCAAGGACGCTTTGATTGTGAAAAGTCTTCACGAAAGGTGATAAGACTCTGTGTGACAATTATCGAGGCATCTCCTTGCTTTGCGTAGCCGGAAAAATGTATTGCAAAATCATCCTCAACAGACTCAAACGTCTGTCCGAGAAAGTCCTGCCTGAAAGCCAAAGCGAATTCAGAGGTGACAGGTCGACGAATGATATGATCTTCAGCTTACGACAAGTTCAAGAAAAGGCGATAGAGCAGAGTCAGGATCTGTATGTCATATTCATTGACTTTAAAAAGGCCTTTGATATGGTCTCCAGGGACATGCTTTGGAAAGTGCTAGAAATTTTAGGATGCCCAAGGAAGTTCGTCAACATCGTGAAATATCTGCATATCAACATGAAGCCTAAGGTTTCGGTTTCAGGGTTCATCACTGAGGAGTTCGAGATCAAGAAAGGGATAAAACAAGGTGATCCTTAGCCTACGGTGCAGACCCCAGCAGAAACACGTTTCGTGAGGGGTCTACGAATAAACGAAGAAAAGCTTGCCCGGCCTACGTCATATCCGTTTTGCGTTTTGGGTAAATTAACTTCAATTTATTCAAATTTATGACGTGTGCGCGCTTTATATTAAAATGTTTCATGGACCATGGTGGGCTTGTGCAATAGAAATGTGTTCTTTGCTTCAACGTCCCGTCGAATGAAAGCGATATTAATTTCTTGGACAGCAAGGAGAACATACGTAAGGAGTTAGACGACCTTTCCTTCTCCATTTTACCTGCAAATAACATTTGTAAAGCCTGTCTGGCGTTGATAAACAAACGGAGAAGCTTCGAAGAACGGTTATGTGAACTAGACAATACGATAACTAACGTGCACGAAACAGCATTAAACGCTATTGGTATACCGCTTAAAGTAAAGCGAAATGTCGTGAGGAAACTGGGATTCGAGCCAACTTGCGATAAAACTTTTATGCCCGCTACATTTAGCGTGAAATCAACGTTGTCTTCGACTGCAGAAATTGGATGTCTTGACAAGCTTCAACAGTCTAACAGGTTAAGAATTTTTTGAAGTAAACATGCACTTACAACAAATCGTGTTAAAATATACCCTGACTATATGCATACCAAACTATTAAACAAATGTCCGAACGGACTAAAAAGTTCTTGTCATTCATACAAACCTGTTACAGACTTGAAGCTTGTCAAGGCATCCAATTTCTGCAGTCGAAAACAATGTCGATTTCACGCTAAATGTAGCCGGCGTAAAAGTTTAATCGCAAGGTCGGCTCGAATCCCAGTTTCCTCACGAAATTTCGCTTTACTTTAAGCGGTATACCAATAGCGTTTAACGCTGTTTTGTGCACGTTGGTTAGCGTATTGTTTAGTTCAGATAACCGTTCTTTGAAGCTTCTCCGTTTGTTTACTAACGCCAGACAGGCTTTACAAATGCGCAATTTGCAGGTACAGTAAAATGGAGAAGGAAAGACAGGAAAAGTCGTCTAACTCCTTACGTATGTTCTCCTTGCTGTCCAATAAATTAATATCGCTTTTATTCGATGGGACTTTGAAGCAAAGAACACATTTGTATTGTGCAAAGCCCACCATGGTCCATGAAACATTTTAATATAAAGCGCGCACACGTCATAAATTTGAATAAATTGAAGTTAATTTACCCAAAACGCAAAACGGATATGACGTAGGCCGGGCAAGCTTTTCTTCGTTTATTCGTAGACCCCTCACGAAACGTGTTTCTGCTGGGGTCTATACACCGTAGGCTAGGTGATCCTGCGCCTCCGACGTATCTCACGTTATTCCTGACTGCAATCTTAAATCTACTGGCTCAAGTAACGCAGGAAGGCGTGTACATCAGAACCCGAAGTGACGGCAAGTTGTTTAATCTCTCTCTTCAGTAAAAGCATTTACCAAGGTTCGAACTGAATTATTTCGAGATCTTCACTATGCGGACGACGCGGTGATGATGGCGCACTCGTTAGAAGCTATTCAAGAGATAACCTCTAGATTCTCGGAAATCAGCAAAGCCTTTGGACTGCAAATCAAGAGGGATTATTCTAAGGAAATTTTATCACTGCACAAAAGCGAGAAAAATGATAAAATGTACATAAATTTAGCGACATTTTAGAAAACGCTTACTGCCCTGCATTATAGTGAATGTACGCTGGTTCTGCAACTTAAAGTTACCCCATGCATGCACTAATTATATACAGGAAAATGAGCCAAAATCACCGCTAATGAGCCCAAATCTGCATTCTGCATATTGTATTTCATGCAAAAATATACACATTTTTACATATTTTTTGAATCGCATGCAAACACACAAAGCAATATTGCTCTTCAAGACCTACTAGTCTTTCACTGTTGATTGTGTCACCAAACCGCAGCGTCAAAAATCTCAAAACAAAATAGGAGAAATACCCGATCGGAATAAATATGCCACCGAAACATTAGTAAATGAATGCTTTATTGAATGAATGAATGCATTAGTAAATGAATGCTTTATTGCAATAATTTTGAGTTCAAATATTTACACCCTGTATATTCCCAGTAAAAACTGAATGAAGCTATTGTATGTGATTTTATGCAAATTAGTATACAAGCAGTGGCCATTTTGTCGCCAATTTCTGGTAGTGAACAATATCGCATTTTATCACTGCACATAATCAAATTTATCACTGCTGCACAAATCTCATTTATCACTGCACAAATTGGTTATCACTGCACCTTAGAATAATCCCTGCAAATCAATACCATAAAACAGAATTGCTTTATCAACCGAGTCCAAATAAGCGAAACAGTGAGAACAACGCACAACCGATTGTGACCATAGATGGCGAAGTCCTGAATACGGTGCACAAATTCAAATATCCTGGCAGCTACGTTTCGGATGACAACAAAGTCGACACAGAAATTTCGCGTCGCATACAAATGGCATCTGCAGCTTATGAACAATTGAAGAAGAGACTGTGGGATAGCCATGACATCTCCTTAACAAGTTAACAACTAAACTTGCAGTCTTCAGAGCAGTGAAATACCACCCGCTTTGTTGTACTCCATGGAAACGATGACCCTTTACCGGCGACATTTCAACAAACTGACCAATTTCCAATTAAGACATCTTAGGCAAATGCTTAAGCTCCAATGGTCAGATAAGATCCTTAACGTGGAAGTCTTGAGAAGAGCTGGAATGCCCAGCGTAGAGGCATTGATTACAAAAACGCAATTGAGATGGACTGGACATGTAGTAAGAATGGAAGAAAACAGGTTGCCGAAAATTATTTTGTACGGCGAACTACGGGTGGTAGACGAAGCGTGGGAGGTCAAAAAAACGCTACAAAGATGTCATGAAAAGGCAGCTGAAGAAAATTGAATGTGACGTAAACACATGGGAAAGAGACGCCAAAGATCGAGTCGTCTGGAAAGGAATTGTTACGCAGTCAGTGACCAGAATCGAAGAAAGTCGGATGTCGGATGGAAGAGTATAAACGACGACGACAATCACGCCATGGAACTCATGAATCGAACATACAATGTAATAAGTGCGGACGCTGCTTTATTTCGAACGCAGGTAGAGCGGCGCATGTACGAGCGAACAAATGTAGGGAATGAGGAAGAACAACCATTGACATCTCAGTCATCATCGAAAAACGATGGACGATCATATATATATAATAAATTATATATATATATATATATATATATATATATATATATATATATATATATATATATATATATATATATATATATATATATATATATATATATATATATATATATATATATATATATATATATATATATATATGGTTTTCCATTGAGCACTTTGCCAAAAGTTTTTATAACCAACAAAACCAAATTTTATATATACCGGGTGTCCCAAAAAAAAGTACTCCTGTTTGATTCGTAATAACTTCTAAACAAGTACAGCTTTTAAAGAGAAATAACTTGCATTAAATAGAGGAAGGACTAACTTAGATTTTGATATATTACAATTGTATTTCACTTAAAAATTCACGGAGATATCAATCTTTAAAATCGGGAGCATATTTCTGGATGTGTCTGAAATATGCAAAAAACGGCGTATCAAATATTAATCAAGATTTGCCCGACTGAAACATGCACTATTACCAGTAAATAAATGACACTTGACAAATTGTTTATTATGAAACAAAGTATTATTATATCTACAAAATACAAGCAAGATTTATTCGTCCGAAATTCGCGTGTGTTCCTAGCACGAATACGTTTCCTTATTTCATGAGACCACTGCATCGCGAAGGATCGTCATGGATCGTTCGTAGTTCTGAATTAGGGCATGCTGTCACAATGGAACTGTGAAGCTCTTCTAACTTCTGCAACGTTCTGAAATCTTGTTAAGAACACCCGAACTCTTTTGCCTTTTCTTAATCTTGGCAAGTTCAAAGTAAACTGAGAATTATATGAAACACAATCAAACCATATAACTCCATAAGACATAACAATTAAGTAACTCCTCAGAGACATGCAACATTTTTGGAACAAAACGTAACAAAATAGTAGCGTTGATACGGTGATGTGTATTTGCAAAAGCAATATTATTTCCTTCAATAAAGAATAATATTCATCCTGCTCTAACCGAGAAATAATAAACTCAGTCTGTTTGAACCCATTAAAAACATAAAATTGGGCTATTTAAGAAAAAGTTAAGCGCCTGCCTTCCATGGCATGGTCAGTCTTTCATGTACTTTTAAGTTTGTAAAGACCTAATATTAAATACTTGCATAATTTCAAACGTTCATATTTCAGGAAACAATGAGCTAAGACTTACATGTACAGGTAGATGTCTAAATCTACGCCATATCCCTTACAAACCGTAACGCGATAATTCGCTGAAATACAAGTTAGTCTGATATGTCATTAAGCAAACAAACGCTGGAGTTAATATTTGATATGCCGATTTTCGCTAATTTTAGACACATCCCAAAGTATGCTCCCGATTTTGAACATTAATATCTCCGTGAATTTTTAAGTAAAATACAGCTGTAATATATCAAAATCTAAGTTAGTCCTTCCTCTATTTAATGCAAGTTATTTCTCTTTAAAAGCTGTACTTGTTTAGAAGTTATTACGAATCAAACAGGAGTACTTTTTTTTGGGACACCCGGTATATATAATATATATATATATATATATATATATATATATATATATATATTAGTCGTGCACTATTGTTATATATATATATATATATATATATATATATATATATATATATATATATATATATATATATATATATATATATATATATATATATATATATAACAATAGTGCACGAAAACCAAATTTCAAATTTCTCTGTTGTTATAATTTCTCTTTTGTGCCAACACAGGACTGCAAATCGTAGAAACAAAGTGTTGTTACAATTTTTATACTTTCCGTAAATTTTCAGTTTATATTTTCAATATAAATTTCTGTAGCCTAAATGTTTGATTAAACCAGGATAATTTCCGGGACCATGCCGGGTAAGTGATTTTATACGACAAACTGAATTAGTCTCATCTAACTATATTAATTAACAAAACTTAGTCTTACTGTTTCAGCATTCTCCAATAGCTTTCTTAAAGTGTCTGGTTTCGATACAGCGTAATGAAAGACATTTCGTTGAAGATTGTCCGTTTCTATCATATCCATTTCATCTAATTTTATTTTTTCTAAGAATGATGCTTTAAAAGATTTGCCTCGTCGAACAGCACTGAAAAAGTTGTAACGTTAAATTGGTTTAAAATATTATTTTAAAAATGTAGCCATTCAGCATTATGGATAATGTGCACTGCCAGATTATCTAAGTCAGTAAGTTCCATAAAGGTGGTATTTGCCCCACCCAGGATCCTATAACCGGCCTAGAATTAGTGTAAATTATTTTCGATGATAACAGGGCCGTACACAGCGGGCGGGGGGCAACTCCCCCCTAGAGAAAACTATATTTACGATTTTTAAAATGTCATTATTAATATTCTTTGGATATTTGAGATATTTGGGGCAAAGTCAAGGGAGGAATGTAATAAGTTTTGCAGTCTTCTCTTACTTCATCAGTGGGTTCACGAAACTGACGTCGCTGGCAGAACTGGCTGAGCTGTTCTTTTGTGATACTTTTCGGTGACTTTTATCTTTCACTTCATTCCCATGCCCAGTTACCAGTTCTTCATTTTCTTTGATTTCAGCCATCGGTATTCGTTGATTTTCCGACATTTTATTGTTGACTTATACTGACCCCTAAACAAAGGATGGTGGAAAAGTGAATAAAAAAGAGAATATTATATGTATATTAATTAAATAGATGGATAGATAAAATCGATACAGACTACGAAACAGACTACGTAGATAGATAGATAATACGGTTTAAAGGTATGAAGTTAACTAAACATATTTACAGGGGTTTTTGAGCCTTTTTTGCAATAAATTATTTAATAATAAAAGTATAAATCTACATAATCTAGAGTTAATGTTGTCGTTCGAATTTCTTTTTAAACTTCATCTTCAAAATTTTTTTTCACTCTTTAATGAGGCCTGATAAAGAAATCCATAATATTATAAGTCCGGATACTTCAGATCGTCTTTGAAATAATCCATTCTGATAATTGGTATTGGATATTATCAGAAGATCCAAAATTGTAAACCATGCAAAGTCAACCAAATTGTTTTTTAAAGCATTTCAGATCATTAACTGTTTTATTTAATAATAACTTCTTACTAACCGAACGCGCGGTCTGTACAGAGAATGAGAGAAATATCCATGACCATGATTCTCGAAATGAAATTTGCTTACGCCGCCGCCTTTTTTACGACCTAACGTCAAAACACGTTCCTAACAGACGAGTCATCTGCTGCACAAACAAACTATCGATATGGTTATGCACTGCTAATGATGAATTCACATGACAATTGAGTCACAGTCCCAAACAATTTGATAAACAATATGGGTAAACGTGAGTGTTTAATATTTTGACGAAATAATGATATCTCTATATTTTCGGCAAATTGTCCGTTCGGCAAAATGTCTTTTCGGCGAAAAGTCCGTTCGGCGAAATGTCCGTCGCCAAAATGTCCGTTCGGCAAAATGTCTTTCGGCAAAGTGTCTTTCGGCAAAGTGTCTTTCGGCAAAATGTCTGGGTACCCTTTTTTATACAGAATTATAATTAAACTATAATTTTCAATTAGTTTTGCTGCTTTGTTTTAAAATAAATGTGTTTGTTTTTAGGTAATGGACCACTGAAAGTGCTCCTCGGCCAATCACAGTTCACCATTTCACCGGAAGTGATGCTTGCCATATAATAAAGCCTTTTATTATACAGGGTGTATAAAAAAAAGAAGACCTTTAGAAATCAACCATATTGTTAAAATTTGAATGCCTTTTCAATTGCACATATGCTGAACCGTAGTGCGTGAAATATTGATGGGGTGCATATATTAGAAAAAGTAGACCTTTCGAAATTGAAATAACGTTTAAACAAAAGATTGTCTGCTCCTGGGAACAATCTGCCATGCATACTGTACGTAGAAAGAAAACTATATAATAAATATATACCGCTGTTGGCGCTTGAATACTTCAAAAATGTTTCATCGTGCCTGCAGATTTAACCTGAAGTTCAGGCCCTAAAATTTTGATTGGTTGCAAGTTCACATAAACAACAGTTTTAAAAATAGCTCGGTCAAGGGCACAAGGGGACAATAATAATATAAAGGTCAAACCCTCTGCTTGTCAATCATATTGCATGCTGTGTCTAAAAATAACATGTGAGCGTCCCACGGTCTAGACAGGTTTTGTGTCAGGCCCTATTTAAAATTAGGGCCTGAACTTCAGGTTAAATTACCATGTTCTCATAGGTTGACATATAATTAACTAAGATTTCCGATTATACGCCACGCCTCCAAAAAACTTCTTTTGCTAGGAGCGGTCATCTCATTGGACGATTCTAAATGTAATTGACGTTTCAGCAAGAATACTGGCAAAGGATTGGATAACTTTGATCTCTGACGTCACTTTCCTGTGATATTACTCGAAACCAAATACAGTAGCCTACCACAGAATAAAGATCAGTACCAGAAGGGCCACTCAGCGGTGCAACGTGTCGCCATTTTTCTATGCAAAAATATGCAGTTGACTGGCCAGAAGGCGGTGCCTTCAGCCAATACAGCGCGTTTATTGGCCAGAAAATGTAATCGACTGGCTAGGAAGATGGCGGCCAGCGTGACAGAAATATTAACAACCTGAAATATTAACAACCTGATCTCAATAACAACCCGAAATATTAACAACCTGATCTCAATTCCCCTTGTTACTAAGTAAGAATCCCCCAAATTCCTATGATATCCCGACTATATTGTCCAGTAATGTTAGATCATTACCAAAGAAAATTGACGAGCTCCAGCAAATTGCAGAGCTAAACTCTGCAAGTGTTATTTGCATTACTGAATCGTGGCTATCACCTGACATTCCTGATCATTGCGTATCTATCCCTGGATTCAACTTATTTCGTAGGGATCGCATAGGTTCTTCTGGTGGTGGGGTCTGTGTATATTTGGATCATAAAATACCTTGTAACCGTTTGGATTCATGTGACCAATCTGATGTAGAATCAATTTGGATTTCATTAAGACCACATAAACTCCCAAGAGAACTTACATCCATTATTCTAGGAGTAATATATCATTCAACATCCAATAAAGAACCTGAGAATGTTGTCCTTAGAGACCATGTGCAGAATAACCTTGACTCATTACTCTTTAAGGAACCTAACGCTCTTGTTTTACTTACAGGTGACTTTAATCCCACGTCTACAGGTTTTAAAATGAAATATATCACACAGGTGAACCATCTTAAACAACTTATATCTTTTAAAACCAGAGATTCTGCCGTATTGGATTGGCTGTTAACAAATAGACCTAAGATGTTTGAAGTATCTAGATTGCCAAAGGTTGGTTCGTCTGACCACTATGCGATCTTAGCAAAACCAAATATAGCAATATCATCTAAACAGACTATTACCAAAATTAGAATCCGGGACATGCGGAACTCTGTGTGGTGTGCCTTTGGACGATGGATAACCAAAAAAAACTGGTCATCGATATTAAGTGCGAGTACGAGCAAAGATAAATTTGACCTCTTTATGTCAGAGCTTGACCAAGCAGTTAATACCTTTCTCCCACAGAAAATGATTAAAAAGCATCCGACAGATCGACCGTGGATTACTAATACGATAAAACTGTGGATTTCTAGACGCCAATGTGTATTCCAACAACAAGGAAAAAATTCTAAAGACTATAGTTTTTGGAGGAATAAGGTTCAACGTGCGATCCAGTCAGCAAAATCCAATTACTTTCATAGTAAGGTAGCAGATGTTGATAGAGTTAACCCTGTAAAGTGGTGGAAAGAGATTAAAAAACTATCAGGTCAAAATATCCGACAGGAATGGTATCATCAGTTCCTTGATAACAACATGGATATAGAATCCCTAGCTAATAAAGTGAATGACTTCTTTGTTAGTCTTACAGATCACTTCGCCCCTCTGAGCCAACCAACTCCACCTATATGCAAATCCCGGAAGAATTCTTGGTTATGGAAAGTGAGGTGTTTAAAGCATTAGCATCACTGCAAATTAGTAAGGGGATTGGCCCTGATAATATCCCGAATAGAATCCTGAAAGAGTTTGCTCCTGAACTGGCTCTAGTCATTCGTAATATTTACAACCAGTCAATGAAAGAAGCGAATATCCCATCACCACTTAAGTCATCTATCGTAATTCCAGTTCCGAAGATATCATCTCCTCAAACAATTGAAAATGATCTCCGCCCAATCTCGCTTTCCTCGTCAATGGCAAAAGTTATGGAAGGCTTTACTTGCACTAGGCTATTAAAGGACTTGGAAGGAAAAATCGACCCTCGCCAATATGCCCGCAAAGGGCACTCAACAACAGATGCCCTTCTCTACATGATGCAAACAATTCATGAGGCATTGGACGGGGGCGAAGCTGGTGCTCGTATCTTCTTCGCAGACTTCTCAAAAGGTTTTGACCTAATTGACCACTCTATTTTAATACAAGAACTGTATAAGCTCCAGGTTCACCCTGCCTTGCTGTCCTGGATCTCAGCCTTTTTATTCAATCGTAGGCAGGCGGTTAGAATTGGTAGTGTCCTTTCTCAATGGCAAACTCTGAAGGGAGGAATACCCCAAGGGACTAAACTCGGAGTGGTACTTTTTATGGTCATGACAAATAGCTTACTGGCTAATTGGCATCTCCGTACAAAATTCGTGGATGATACTTCAGCCCTCGAGATTATTCCTAGGAACTCTATCAGCCTCCTTAATTTTGCAGTCTCTGATATACATGAATTTGCTAATGAACATAACATGAAGCTCAATCCTAAGAAGTGTAAGGAAATGCTTATAAACTTCCTACATAACCCCAATTTCTTACTCCGACCAATCCAAATTGGTAACAATATTATTGAGCGTGTGACAACGTATAAATCTTTGGGTGTCATTTTGAGTAGCGACCTAAAATGGAATCCCCATATCGAATACATTGTTAAGAAGGCTAACAAAAAACTATACCCTTTAAGAGTCCTGCGAAGAGCTGGGGTTGACCAAAAGAATTTACTGAAAGTGTACCTGTGCACAGTAAGACCGGTACTTGAGTACGCCGTCCCTATTTGGCAAAACATTCCGGATTATCTATCGAAGGAAATTGAGTCGGTCCAAAAACGAGCACTAAAGATAATTTTCTCGGAGAGCGAGTCATATGCGGAGGCCCTGAATTTTGCACAACTACCAACTTTAACCACAAGAAGAGTGCAAATATGTCAGAAATACATGGTCAGAATGAGGCGAGAAAACCATCCCTTATTGCCAATCCCTGTTGTTCCTGACCATGACATTAATTTGAGACAGAACACTGATCGATTTTATCTATTTAATAATGTTACTGATTGCAGAACAATTAAAGCTCAATCCTTTTTTACATTTAAATACTCTTAATATGTTAAGATTTTTTTAATATATATGAAAATTGTAAATAATTATGCATGCACTAGTTACTATTTTGGTAAATGTCTAATGATTTTAACTCTTGTAAATAGCCTAGATTCTAAAGCATATCCATGTACTATTTTATAACATATTCTTATCTATTGTAAAGTACTCGTTAATTCAGTTGTTTCTGTAACTGCAAGAGAGTCCTAATAAACTATTATTATTATTATTATTATTATTATTATAAACTTCAAAGCTTCCGACGTAAGTGGCCCTTCTGTGTGCCTTATTCTGTGACAGTACCGTTTCGTTCCTGCGGGGAACGAAACAAAAACTATGTACTATCTGTCTTAGTTTGCTTTGCCTTTGGCAACCTCGACGTTTCAATACGACCGCGCTATTGTACGTGGCTAGACTAATATAGCTCGAAAAACGTTAGTAAAATAATAATTGTTTAGTCGATTTAAAAAGAATCACTCATGACAACAGCTATATATGCCTATGAAAAAGCACATGCATTTGTGAGCTGCGTGAAATTTAACCTACCTACATGTACAAATTTATTGGCTGCATATACCCAGCCTTATACCAAAATACTATAGTACAAGTGTTTGAAATTAAGAACGAAAATTTTGGAAACTAGAAGGAAATCGATTAAAACGAGCCAAGAAAACCGAACTACTATAGTCTATACGCAATGCCATGCAATGGCGAATGGCGATAGAATGATGATGTAAACTATGTACTGTTTAATAAACGAGCAGGAGTGTTTTATTAGGTTTAAAGCCACGAGCGCGCAGCGCGAGTGGCTTTAGACCAAATAAAACACGACCTGCGAGTTTATTGAACGGCTTCAAACACGACTACAAATTCAATAGATTTACTGCCTTATTAGTATTCTTTATATAAAGAATACTAATTAGGAGTGTTTTATCAGGTTTAAAGCCACTGCACATGACATTTTATGGTTAACATGATTTGCCAATAAGCTTATGAATTATTAATGAGTGCTTGAATGTTCTGTAACAAACATTCTAAATTCGGCAGAAGATCCCAGTGATTCCAATAGATTCCAAAGCAGCGACGAAGTCCATAATGAAGATTGTCTGATTATATAACAAAAAAATGGAAAGCTGAAATGGAATGAGCTCCACTAGTGAATTTACTCTATGCATGAGTAAATTGTTAAACACGTCCGAAATTATCAATACAATAAATTCGCGACACATGTTGAGCCCTAACACTAACACTAACCTCATTTATTATTAGCATGACAAAATTACTGGATGCTGATTGGTTGAGAGGAGTACAATTATTTAGTTTATTTCATTAATTATACTGCAGTTGTACTGCAGTACAACTTATGATTTTCCCAAAACAAACAAAATGGCGGAAAGGTATTTTAAACACAGATGTGAAATGAAATTGCCGTGAAGGAACTAGATGAAAATACGAACAAAAGCACCAAATTTTGCTTGAAAAAGAACTAAATAAAAATACAAACAAAGGCATCAAATTTTGGTTGAATGTCTGGCAGAACTGGGCTTTGGCGAGAGAATATGATGTTGACATTGAGAAGTACGCATCCAATTTTGTCATGCTAATAATAAACAAGATGTTGCTCGTACAATTAGGGATTAATAGTACTCGTGATGTTTGGAAATTAGCCAAATTGGATTCGCCCCGGCGGCTCGTCCAATTTTGCCAAAATTTCCAAACATCACTCGTACTATTAATCCCTTATTGTACTCACCATCGCATGATTATACCTATACTAATTCGCGTGCATTTGTTTAGAAGTTCGTTTATAACTTTCCAGCAATCTTTGGCATTATTACTATTTTCTATAATTTTCATGATTAACGCATAGTGGCTGGCTTTTGCTTCCTTAATTACGCGATTTACTTGGTTTCTGCAACGTTTATACTATATACGCAGCAAAGTTAATTCAGAAATAAGGAAGGCCAAAACTGGCAAAAGAAACTATTTCTGCAATAAAATTGACTAATTGAGGATAGTATAGGCTCAATCTAAAGAACCGAGACAGAGTTGGAAACTAATTATATAACAATGCAACCTTTTGGGGGGAAATAACAAAATCAAATTCACATAACATATTCACCTGAATACATAGCACCAACACAGACAAAAATCAAATCAAACAACGTTTCAATTCGCAACTGGAAAGTGATGACGTTACTATCTCAGTGATACTTTGATAGCAGAGGCTTTAATGACTTTTTTGTAAATATTGGAGCAAAATTAAGCTCCAATAGTGAAACTTTTACCCAATAGTGAAACTTTTATACCCACGATAGTGAAAATTGTAGTTCAAAACATTTTCCCCGACATTCGTCTAGATGAAGTAATTCACCAGTACGCACTCTTAAATTTAAGTATCGACAGGCCTCGACAATATTCCAGCAAAAGCTCTTAATTGGAATGAACTTATTGAAATGATTTGTTTAAAGGTTGGGGCAGGCATAGGAACAATGGAAAAGTCAATTAAGCCGTATCTTCTTGCAAACACCTTGCAAACAATTTATCGCTCGCTGATACAGCCTTACTTCGATTACTGTTCTCCCTTATGGGGAGTTTGTAACAAAACGCTTATAAAGATAAACTTCAAAAATTTCAAAACCGGGCAGCGAGACTGCATGCAGATCTGTTGATGTTCTTCGATCCCTTGCTTGCATGGGATACTAGAGACAAGACGACGTACAACCAAATCAATATTGTTGTACAAGGTCCTGAATAATCATGACACTGGACCAAACTTAAAGAATCACAGTCAACCATGGTGCTTCGCGCGCTATGTGAATGTTTACATAATACGGGGAGCTAAAAATAGTGTTGTCTTCGAAAACAGTCATACACTAAAAATGATATGCATTAAAGATAAAATTAAAAATTATATAAGTTTTATTATAAACAAAAAAACTTTAATACATTTACCCGCTGGTGTTTTGATGAAATCCTGATTCCTATGACATCGTCTAAGAATAATGCAGATTGATGAGTCTGATAAGAATACGCTTCGGATGGGGCGTGTTATGAAAAGGGGCGTTTTACAAAATACCGGCCGATGGTTGCAGGCCCACTATCAGTTCCCTTGGGCCTGCACGCAGGCTATGAATGTCGAGAAGTTTTAGCGTTCTTCTGAAAAACGGGAGCGGTCTTTTTTGATTGTAGGGAAATTCCCAGGGGTAAATGTTTATACGGGCTAAAATAGCATACAGCATTATTAAAAATAATGCAGCATGCACACAGCATTATTAAAAATAATGCAGCGTGTATCAGTGCACACAGACATTATTCGCAATCCTTCGTCATCCTGACAAGTACACGCGATATAACGTGAACATCTCAAGATGAGAAGTTGAGTCAGTTGACAGTGCTAAAGGCCCCTCATACAACATCATCGGGCGCCTGAAGCACTGCCAAAACGGTCGCTGTGAGTCCTTTCAGCTCAACTTTATAGAGAAATAGTTTCGTTTGCGCTTGTGGGATTTTATCCTAGATATACGCATGTGCAGAACACACCATAAGTTCTATTCCCGTGTTTATCCAGTTTAATACCCTCTTTGAATTAACCTTATCATTAATGATAATATGTAAACTAGAACACTATAATTGACCTCCGCTTGTGGAGATTTTAATTTAGGGCGATTAATTAAACTGAAATCTGTTCTATCACGATGCATTACATGCATGCATGTCCTCACAAATGTCTAGTGTAACGTTGGATAGATTCATTGCCATACGGTCCCAACAAGCAGCAACGTAGTCTTCCAGCCGAAAATAATTACTTTTGATTCGGGTCAGTAATTATAATAGATAATTACTTCGGCCAAACGGCATTATTCGATATATTGCAGCCAGCTTCGGCCGATCGAATAATGCCGTTCGAGGGGCATTTCACTCCAAAAAAGCGTACGGCATTTTCGGATTTTTAAAAATCCGCGGATTTTTTAGCGTATTTAGCGGATTTTTCCCGGATTTTTTAGCGGATTTTTGAAGAGAAAATTTGCTGGATTTTCCGGATTTGTTCGGATTTTTCCGGATTTTTGAAAATCTGTTGGATTTTCTGGATTTGTTTGGATTTTCCGGATTTGTTCGGATTTTTTCTGGATTTTTTTTAATTATAGAGTTATAGAGCTAGGTAACGTTTTGAACAAATAATCTTAAGTTGTACGATGTCAACGTTATGCCAGGACGTCAGGGTCGAGCAGAGGACTGGGACTAGGACCACAGGCCACAGCCTTCTGAATCTAACGAAGGCTGGGCATGCAGTCATTTTGTTTAAAATTCAAACAAGTTCATTATTCTTTCAAAAACAGTAAAAGACAATGGTGAATAACTTTTGGTTTTGTAATTATATTTTACAACATAACGTCATTGTAACAAGAACACATATTTAGTAGTAATAGGCTAAAAAAACTTAGCGTACTCGAGCGTATAAATGGAAATGTAGAGTGGTCCAATAATTACGAAATATAATGACAGCAGATCACGGTAAGCGTTTAGCTTTCGCTGTCCGCCATTTTGAACGTGGCAAAGAACCTTTACGAGTAAATTACACCAAGTACTTCATATATTTTTTGTGGATTTGTGGATTTTTTAAGGATTTTGAAGGATTTCTGTGGATTTTTTAAGGATTTCTGTGGTTTTTAAAGGATTTTTTGGATTTTGGTGGATTCAACGGATTTTGAGGATTTTATGGATTTTTTATGGATTTTTTCCGGATTTTTTGACGAAGTGTACGGGATTTTTGGAGTGAATTGCCCCTCGATGCCGTTGGCCTCAGTAATTATCTATTAAATAATGGCGGAATACAAAACAATCAAAACATTTTAGCGCGCAAAGCATCACGATTGACTGTGAGTCTTTAAAAGAAATTAACATTAATAAGGAGAAATGCTATGCAAACTAACTATGAGCTCCGAAATGTCCATTCTGGTTTAGCCTCCAAAACCGAGAAGAGAATTTCTGAAATTAATTAAATTAAATAAAGTTTCAAGTATAGTGGAGCTAAACTCTGGAATAGTCTTCCGATTAATGTTAAACCAGCCGAGTCTATTTACTCCTTTAAGAATTTTAACCGAGCCAAAAATTACCAATTACTCAGGCCTATTGTTTGAACTAAAAGTTACGAACATAAATTTAGAAATGAGTAAAGCCATTTTTCCACTTCAAGCGTACCGTACCGAAACGTATAAAAAACGTTTTTAAATTTCAAAATTTAGTGAATGTTGATTGGTTAATACTTCTGTAGTACGCCAAAAAGTTGACTCGCGACGAACTTTTTATTTTGATACACGAATACACCCGGAAATACGTGGATTTAAGCCGGTTTCCCTTTCGCATCAGATTACGACACAATTTTTCTAATATAAATATCTCGGCGAGTATTTACCCCCCTTGTAAATAAAAGCCACCATTGAAATCCTAATAAAATAACCTTTCGAACGGGGGGTCAAGTGCCGTCAGAGCATTACACAAACCGAAACCATCATATATTTACTCACCGCTTGGCCAAAGATTCTAGATTTTATATCTACAATATCTTGAATATCTCTTGAACTTTTCGTCATTTTCTGAACGGCTATATGTGTAAAATACTCTTTGTATCCAAGCGCTTTCGTGTAGAAAGTTTCGTATGTATACGCCGACTAGAAATATTTATTTTGAATTTTTCAAGATATCGGGTTTTACTCGCACTTGCGAACATTGCGCAATAATTGGCCAATAAGAAGCTCCTGTTGGCCGGTATGACGTCAAACTCACGCGTGTAGGTGCAATTTGACCTTGCGAATCCATTTCTGGCCTTTCCAGGGTCATATGATACAAACGTCGCATTGTTTTGACGGTTTTCAGACGTATTTCCGGTTGGGATTAACTCACTTCGAGCTCACAGTCGGACAAGAAATGGAAATATACTGATAAAAGATACAGATTTGAAGATACAGGCTTGCAGCCTTGCAAATAACACTCTAAATAGTGTTTTTGATGGGGATTCGAACAAGACTATTACAAAGACGATATGTGCGAAGGGGCCGAAGTTATTTTCAGCGAAAGGTATGGCTAGTCTATATTTTACGATGGCCGAGAAGGGCCATGACTGTAAACACTCGCCGTTTTTTTTACCATTACACTCGTCGTTTTTTTCCCTTCAAAATTACACTCGCCGTTTTTTTCTTCAGAATTACACGCGACGTTTTTTTCAGTTATGATGCAATAATTACACGCGACGTTTTTTCAATGCAATATTACACGCGACGTTTTTTCAATGCAATATTACACGCGACGTTTTTTCAATGCAATAATTACACGCGACGTTTTTTCAATGCAATAATTACACGCGACGTTTTTTCCAAAAATTACACTCGCCGTTTTTTTAGAGTTACGTTTTAAACTGAGGGTTTCACTTCGGACGAAGATGGGAGCAATCATTTAAGGTTATGTGTGTTTCATCAAAACTAAAAATCATGTAAATACATGAGTAGAAAATTTCACTTTTCAGTCAGTTAATTATGAATATATACTGTAATGCATTGGTTTCTTTTGTGTTTTCCAAACTATATAAACAGAAGCTTTGTGTGTTTTGAAAACAATGCATTAATCATTGATTCATAACCGACTGAAAGTGAAATTTCATGGCCTTACTAACTTTGTATATCCGATTTAATACATAACCCGTTGAAATATGGGTTCGATAGTAAACAGTTGAATCTATTACGCGATGCTTCAAATCGCAAAATCAGAGATTATTGGTAGTCGTTTGCAGTTTGCCTCGATTGCTGGTTGCAGAACACGGTATATCGTGTAGTGTTTGCCTGGTGTAAGTTACTTCCTATTCTGCATTTTCGTTTGTTTCTAGTGGCTATAGACAGTGCGGTATCCTAGTTAGTTAATGGTCACTAACTAAAACCAAGTGGCAAAATTACGCTAAATACTTCGACGTACAGACTTGATTTATAGCCAGCGACTGAAGCAAGCTACAAACGACCTACCATATTCTCGGATTTTGGGATTTACAGCATCGCGTAATCAATAATTTACTGTTTACTGCAGAAGCCATATTTCAGCGTGATATGCAAACTTGATGTCTGGCCACATGTGTACTGTATTTACATGAGTTTTAGTTCTGATGAAACACACATAACCTTAAATGATTGCTCCCATCTTCGTCCGAAGTGAAACCCTCAGTTTAAAACGTAACTCTAAAAAAACGGCGAGTGTAATTTTTGGGAAAAACGTCGCGTGTAATTATTGCATTGAAAAAACGTCGCGTGTATAAATATTGCATTGAAAAAACGTCGCGTGTAATTATTGCATCATAACTGAAAAAAACGCCGCGTGTAATGCTGAAGAAAAAAACGGCGAGTGTAATTTTGAAGGGAAAAAAACGACGAGTGTAATGGTAAAAAAACGGCGAGTGTTTACAGTCATGGCCCTTCTCGGCCATCGTAATATTTTGTTCAGACAATTGCGTAATTTGATACAATATTATCGTGTTTGACTTTCAAAGGCCCGTAAATCGTTACAATGTTAATAATGACTATAACTATCGTTTGGAACTAGTCTATCTTTTATTTCTGAATCGATTGGTGGTATTTCTGTCTTCATAGCATGCACTGAACCGAAGGTATGAAATTTATAGCCGTCGATCGCTCAGGATCGACGCGTATGGCCTGTGGCGAGAAAGAGATTAAACAAAATGATCATCGTGCAACCACACTGGAATATAATATAATACACGGGTCACACCTAATTTCTGTACATTTTCTTGTAAATAATTTTAATGGTTTGACGCCCCACGTGGAAACCAACAAAATGTGACGAGGCTAACTGTTAGCCTGTTATCATTATACTGTTACAACGAGATTAGGAGGCTATAATTAAGCACTGGCAATGTAACTAGGTGGTTGACTAAAGTCGTGTTTACACTACCAGCCTTGGCCTGGCCTTGGCCTACATTTTGACAGTGTAAACAGACTTTGGCCTGGCCTTGGCCTGACCTAGGCTAGGAATTCTGGGCCCACTACAACCGGTGGCCTAGGCCTGGCCTAGGCTTGTGGGAATGTAAACACTTTCGGCCCTGGTCTGAGCCTCATTTTCATGGCAACGTGTGTCCATAGTAAGAGATAAGCCGACAACCAGCGGACAACGTCACAACACATAAAAATACACAAAATTAATTACAAAATTCTAGGCCAAAATGAGCCAATCTCAAAAAAATAGTATAATGGTGTAAACGCGCCACATTTACCTTGGCCTGGCCAAGCCTAGGCCAAGGCTTGTAGTGTAAACACGACTTAAGAGAACAAAAAATTTGCACGCTTTGGTATGTAGTGCCGGCATGCAGGGGCGTAGCTAAGAGGATAAAGAAAGGGGGGCGGGTAGTATCTAATTTGCCGATAATATTTCAGTCGCTAATTAATATTTTTCCCCAAAAAATGTTGGCGAAAATTTTTTCCAGACATAAAATTTTTTTTCAGGACAAACAAAACATTTTCCGGTCATATCATAATTAGTCGTTTTGTATATTAGACAGCAAAATGCGGATGGTCCAGTCTTGAGTAGCTTTGTTAATTGTTCCCAAATTAACCCTTTCGACTGGGATCTGGTTGAAATGACTCGTTATAAAGAAGAGAAGTGCTTTATCTATGATGGTAAGCGGATCAAGTGGGTAGATTCTTTCGAAATCTTGAAGATATTTATAAAATGTGTTATTTGTCAATCTGGCAAGTGGTTGTCGAGTGGTGGCAAATACAAGAATTCGAAATTTACGAGCTCTAACACTGACTTAATTCTCACGTGGAACTCTGACTTGGGCATGCTGTCTTTTAAAGGTAAAGTGGGAGATAGCTTAGAAAATCTACTTATTAAAATGAGTACAGCGAAAGAATCTACGCAGACGAACACTTCTGGCTGCTCAACACTGGAAGAACTACAAGGTTTTATTGATAGATCATCAAAATGCGTTCCCACAAAACGGCAAAATATCCTTTCCGCAATCTATCGACAGTTCAACCCCTTTCAGGTTGCGAACTGTAGATAGTGTGGCTTCTATAGAGGAACAGTTTAATAAGTTAAAGGAAAATATCGAGTTCACATTGGCATCTTTGATAAATAAAATTACAGAGCAGACCCAAATCATCGATGAAAACAAAGAGGAAATATGTAAATTGACCGATGTCATTAATTTGCATTTGGAATCACGCGTAGCTAAATTGGAGGAAAAAATTTTCCCAAAGAATGAATCTATTATTTTAATTAATCCCAGTGAAAATATTAACATCACCCACAATAAACTAGAAAATAAATCCCAATCAGCAGTTTCTACTGAACTTAATAAACTTAAACATGGCTGTCCAACCACTCCAACCCCTACATCGCAGAATGTTGAACCTAAAGTTGCACCACCAAACGATACCCCTGTTTATTCTTCAGACCACCTTGGGCCTCTAAACAATACGAGAAAAGTTAGAACCTCCAACTTTAAAAAAAATAAAGCCATGGTACCGTGCCCTTTTTTGAAAAGGCAAGGCTATTGTTTGAAGGGCTCTAGATGTGACTTCTCGCATAAGAATGTCCTGCCTACCGCATAGGAATCGGAATTTCAGAAAAATCCTCCCAAAGAAAAAAGGCCTCCCCCCTCCAAAATGCCACATCTCCATGGGAACCAATTTCCTTTCCCCCCCCCCCCCAATCCGAACTATTTTCCCCCGTTCCATCATTCGATGTTTCATACCCCCTTCCCATGCGGCGTACCGGGCGGGGGGGGGGGGGCAGTCCCCCCAGTTTGTTGGGCAAACAAAGCCAGTCGGGCAATATTCGCTTCACAGACGGGCAATATTGGCTTATTATAAAAATAAATGGGACAAATTCTGTCAATTTTGTGCGAAATTCTGTCAATTTTGTGGGACATATGCTATCTAATAGGAATTTTTCGTAATCACTCCTCCCCCCCACTCGTCGACAACAATTTTGGAAAGTTTCTCCGGAAAATTTTTTTTGACAACTCGGGCACAATCCGAAAAAGTCGGGCAAATTTCTTTCCGCCCCCTAATTTTTCCTTCCCGTACGCCCATGCCCCTTCCCGATTTTACAGTTCCAGTACCCACCACAGTTCCATCACAATTTTCTAGTACCACCTGTACCAAAACCCCTAGACCCGACAAGACTCCCATCACTTCTGTCTCTATCGACAAGACCTCCAGTTCACTGAAGCTGGAAAACTTCTCCCCACATATCCCAATTACTCCCTCCTCCAAGTTACCGAAAACTGGCTCACCCAACGTCTTTGTCCCATCTATCATCTTATCAAACGTTATGTCACTGGTCCCAAAAATCGACGAGGTTCGTAATGTAGCGACCACAACCAACCCAGATATTATTTGTATAACGGAATCTTGGCTTCGTGACCACATCCATGACAATATAGTTAGTATCAGCAATTACACCTTAGTAAGACGAGATAGAGCAGAAGGTCTTCATGGCGGCGTCTGTGCGTATATTCAGAAAACAATTCGATTTAAAATCCTGGAAGATCTATCGAATGAAAATTTGGAAGTAATCTGGCTAATACTAAATCCACCGCGCCTTCCGAGAGGAATATCTAACATTATCCTAAGTATTGTTTACCATCCACCTAAAGCCGATAATTCAATGATGTCAAATTATTTGTACGATTACCTTGTTAACATCGAAACTCGATTCCCGAGTAGTGGAACTATAATTCTTGGCGACTTCAACAAACTGAAAACGTCCAGACTTCAAAACAGTTTTAAACTTAAACAATCGGTTAAATTCCCCACCAGAGGTCAAAACATATTGGATCTAATCTTAACGAATATAGGTAGTTACTACCAAAAACCGAAGAAACTGTCGCCATTTGGTCTTTCAGATCATGCGACCATTGAAATCCAACCCCTAACTCGTTCTGAGTTTCCTAAAGTATCAATTAAAACAAAATCAAGGGCTGGCTTTAAAAAAATACCTGGTAGAGGTAGACGTTCTAACCCTTATCAGAGCTAAGGCTTCCTGTGAAGATAAAGGTGAGGCATATGATGAGGCACTTAGTGTTGCCGGCCTTCAGCAATTAAGTACACGAAGACAAAGATTTACTGACAAACTTTTCCATGAAATAGAATCTATCATTAAAATTTTAAGATATAATTAAATTTAAAGTATTTATTAGTCTAGTACACCATGTAATAGCGATTGGGGCTTATTTTTGTAATAGTTAACACAATTCAGCCCTTGGGCTGCAAAGTTAATCATTTAATAAAACTATCAATCAATCTATCTATCTATCTAGTCCGAAAATACAAAAAATTTTTCCAGAGATATCGTATTTTTCTCCCGAGATACGAACAGTTTTTCCGGACATATCGTTATTTGTTACCTTTAATTTTTCCGTAATTTTTCGTAAATTTAGTAACATTTTTTATATAACTATTACTTTTTATTCCGAACCACTTAAATATTTTCGCTCATCACGAAACAATTTCCCGATAAATCAGAAAGCAATTTGCCGAGTCTAGCGGACATTTGCCGAATTTGTTAAGAATGGGGTTGTTCCACACCCCACATCCCACACCTCCCTCTAGCTACGCCCCTGCCGGTATGAGATTTGCCGTGATACCATATCCTGTTTGTACGCTTCCAATAAATTAATGAAAAATTTGAAAAGCGGTTGTTGGTTGAAAAATAATCAACCACTTCGCTACTGAAAAAATGTCATGTTCGCCACTGACAGCTACAACTATGCTGTTTTAAAAAAGTAGTCAAAAACTATACTCAGCATAATATACTTGAAAATTGTAATTCACTACAGTAGCGAACTACTTTCCTACTATACCCACCCTTGACAAAGACCAAGAGAAGTTATTCTGCACAACCATGCTGAATGCCTTGCAGTCCTCTATAGTGACCGTACATGCAGTAATATATATAGTAGGAATGTATATAGTAGAAATACCAATATAGATACCACTTTGTGTTATGTATTATTGTTTCACTTTTGCTCTGTTATTCTAACTCTCAACCGTTGTTTATAGTCTTGTACCGCAATATGTCCAATATATGTAAACATAACAATTATACTTATAGCACAATAATGATACAAACTTACCAAGTAGATTATAATACATTATATTATGGACATATAACGCTCTCGATAATTTTGAACTGTAGTTATGTCGGTTGTTTGACTTTCAACCTTTTTGCTTTATCTGCGAAGAAATACACGTCAAGACTAAAGAGTCAAGTGCATGTGACTGAATTTCAAACGTCACTACTTTCAGACTTGCCGGCTTGCCTCTTCCCCTTTTACTTGAGACAGCAATGATTATGTCAAGTAAATGCCAAGACGTTGAGTGAAATTTCATTCTGAAATTTCCAGTCTGTATAAATGCAGAACGACGTTTGACTTGCCATTTGACGTTTCATGCTGAACACGGTGGAACATCTAGCGGAATACTTATTTACTGAGTCAGACGTTATTTAAGGACAAATACTGAACACCTACATGCATATTTAAATGTGGACTGCAAACCTAAAACAGAGAAGTGGCATGTGCTAAAACCTGGACGATGATCCAGGTTTTATTGGACGATGGACGATGGACGTCCATCGTCCAGGTTTTAGCACATGAGATACTATCAAAATGAAGAGAAAAGTGAGATGAATATACTGGTATACGGCCGAAAAGATAAATGATACCAAAGTTATATCAAACGTACTGCATTTTTAATTAGTTTAATAATTTTGAGCGATTTGTCAACAATACAATTTCGCTTATTTAAACTGCACTTTAAAACCTTCAAAATAAAATAGTTTGGGCTCAAAATACTATCAAAATGACGACAAAAATGAGTCGAATCCACTGGTATACGGCCGAAAACCAAGAATCGAACGTACTGTATTTTTAATTAGTTTAATAATTTTGTCGACAATGCAATCACGCTTGACTTTCAAAGGCCACTCGCTAGAATTCTGTTATTTAGTAATACTGACATTTGACATCCGTAAGTACAATTTCGTACGCTAAATTGAACGGTGGTATTTTTGTCCTTATTGGGCGCATAAAACCAGAGATAAGGCTATTAAGGCGCAGCAAAAAGTCAATCGTGAGAGTCCGAGATTAAAATAGAAAAGAAAACTTCCCTCGAAAAAAGGAATTCGGAAAACGTGAAGGATTATTTTGAGCGGCTTGTCTTTCAAAGGCCACAAATCACTAGAATAGAAGTCAATTTTGAAATCAATTTTCCATCCGTAAATACAACTTTTCACGCTGATTCGAACAGTGGTATATTTGTCCTTGTTTGACGCATAAAACCAGAGATAAAGCCTAGCAAACAGTCGATCATGTGATGAGAGTACACGAAACGTATTGATGCGAACAAACTAACAAACGGACAAACTCACATGCAGAATATAATGCGGTGCCAAACTTGGGCACCGCAATTTCAGTAAGTAATAGTGACGAAGTGATAGCCGGAGACTGAATTTGGAGACTGAATTTGTTGAAACGGCTGTAGCTAAATAAAAATCGTCCATCGTCCAATAAAACCTGGACGATGGACGTCCATCGTCCATCGTCCAGGGTTAAGCACATGCCCAGAAAAGTGGCATGCCGGCAATGCAGTTTACGTGTGTCTTCCCAAAGCTTTCAGATTGATTATCAGATTGATCCGTCAGCCGGATCTTCATCACGATATCAACGCCAAAAATATTGGATGTTGACTGGCCCGTAACTAGATAAGAGATAAATTTAGAACAGGACAAATTCAAACAGGAAGACGTCAAGTTCAAAGACAGAAAACAAATACTGCATGGAATTTATACAGGCCTCTGTATCCAGCTTCTTGAAACGTCACTAGACAGATTTAGATCGCGGAGGACGCGGACGTTAAAGACGACGTGAAAATGGCGTGGCGTATCCATACATGGACACAACACGCCATTTTTGCGTCGTCTTTGGCGTCCGCGTCCTCGATCTAAATCTGTCTAATATTTCGTGGGTGTAACCAAACAATCCAATAACAGAAGTGTGGGTTATCGTTCAAAATATTCATACAAACACTTTTTGTAACTCTTGGCCAATCAGCGACTAGTATATTTATAACCAATCAGCGACTACTATTACTAAAAGACGTAACTCGTATAATGTGGTACTATTCAATGTTCAGAGACTGTTTATAGATCAGTGATAAAACTACAAGAGAAAATCATCGAGAGCAACACGTCCGCTCCGTTGTTTAGCTTGTACAAAACATTTAATTGCTTATGATTTGAGGAAATATAATGAACTTATAGTGGAAACGGGGTGTATTTAGGGTAAGAAACATTAAAGCAACACACTGAACACATCAAATATAACTGTACCATCGCTAGCGTATATAGAGGATAGTACACGGCGGCGCGAAGATATGACTTTTATGTTAGTCGAGTGGTGAAAACAATATTTTACGAACGAGCGCAGCGAGTGAGTAAAATATTGTTTTTAACACGAGAGGATAAAAGTCACTATATCTTCAAGCCACCGTGTAATGTTCTGTTTATTATATAGTCCCAGGCAAAAAATTGTATAAATACTAAATGTCACGTGATCGATATCTTCATTAGTGAAGATATGGAAAATATCTCACTGTGTATTTTTCAGTATCTCAATCTGTACTATATAATAAATAGCAATACAGGCACCATATACTAGACCCCTTGCCATGTTTACGTTTTGCTGGTGAAATATAGATCGATTTTTAACCGACTTTAAGTTGGAAATTGAACATCAAAACAACCAGTACTTTTATTTTTGTATATTTTGAACATGACGAACGTTGTGGAATTAAGAGTAGTATTTGGATACAATCTATTCATAATGGATCTATTCATAATGTAACCAGTCACTGAAAAGCCCTGATATAGGGAGTGTGCTGTGAAATATCTGTATCTGTATATATCTGTATCTGTATTAAACAAATGCAAGGTGTATTAAACAAATGTAAGGGATCTAGAGATTGTGATTCAAAGGATCGTTCATTATTCATAAGAGGGTCAGTGGGATGGGTGAGAAACTGGGGGATCTGAGATTTTTCTGGAAGAAAAAACAATTCTTGTAATCTAAATCCCGGGGGGGGGACTGAAATGGAAGAAGACAAACCTATATATAATGCCATAAAATTAAACCTTCCTTCTCTTTAATTAATAGTAAAATGTATGATCATCTCTAAGGGGGAGGGGGACCTTAAATAAGTTATTTTTATGGGGAACTGAAAATCTAAGTTTGACTAAAGTTGGGGCCGGCCCAGAAGCGTTTTTTCCAAACTATTAAAAAATCACCCATGCCTCTCCTCCTATAGATAATGAATGCATGGTCGGCATTGGTTTGCCGTAGTGCCAACTACAGACCACTGCATTTGGTTTTCCGTGGCTTTATAGTGTAAACGCGACCCTTGTAGCTAATTTTAAACTGTTGCGTCAGATCGCTTAGGGGTGGACCATTAGAAAAGTGAGAGGGGAGGGACGGGAAGGGGAACAAAAAATAAAAGAGAGAACAAAAAGAAAAGAAAAATAGAAGAGGAAAGAAAAATATCTTTAAAATTCCAAAACATTCCAGCCCAAGCAGACGGCCGAAAAAAATTCGTGCAAGCTGAAAATATCCTCCTCCTCCCCATAACTTCGCATTTCAGTATTACATATATAATACATTATATCCAGTACTAGTGCTGTAAAGGTTACATAATTTTTGTAACTATAGTTAGAGTTACAGTTATATCATCAGAAAAGTAACTAGTTACCGATACAAACTACAATGGAACAACAGTAACAATATAATTACAGTTACAAAGTTACTTTAAGAATTTGTAACTATTTACAAAGTTACAACCTCTGTCCCATTATCTTGTCTCTGTCCCAAGAATTTACAAAACTGTGATCGATTTAGCCTGAAATTGCACCGAAGGAACACAGCAGGCATGCAGGAATTCGTGGTATTAATTTAATATTCTTTATAATCCAAATGAATATTTACTTACATGTTTGTTGTTACAACGAAAGATTTAGAAAATATTTAATTAAACAGTTTATATGAACAGTAGATTGTATAGTATATATAAAAGTCAAATTTAATCATTTTTATGTTATAACTTATAAGTTAGAGTAAATGAAGTATATTCTTTATCGACGCTGGTAATGGGTTTGATGGGCTCTACCCTTCGTCTTCGGAAATTGTCGAAGGTATCGAATGAAAGAAGATGGAAAGAAGGGGGGAGTGAAATTTCGACTAATTAGCCAGCAACGACACAGATTGCTTTCTCCTGATGCCTTAAGGTTAACTTTATGCAAACGTGTAATTTTATGCAACAACAGTCTACCCAGTCTTCACTCGGTCCCTCATTGACAATTCGGCTCTGGGTTAAACGACTAAAGGGAGAGATCTGATTGGCTTCTTAAAGAACTGTTATTTCGCAGAAGTTGAGCAGTTTTCGCTAGGCAAAATTATTCTATCAACATATGTCAACACAAATACTTCGTTTCTTCGTAATACTTCACTGTGACAATTGTTACGGGTACTAAAGCGTCCCAATTCAGGAGCATGCGCTTTAGAAACTACTGCAAGTTTTCTTGCACTTCCGGATCCGTGTGTCCCAGGGCCTATGGAGGACGCGCACGGCCGAGAGGCCCTGCGGACGAGGATGCGTTGATTCGGCAAATTCCGAAAGCTAATTGCGCCCGTTAAAGTCATTACATGAATTTTAAAAAACAGATTTCAGCTGAGACGGACGTGTTATTTTAGCTCCGCTATTTCGACACTTGATTTTTAAGATTGAAGCTTAATTTTTGCCAGAAATGAGTCTTCTGCATGGTGTATCATTCAACAACAAAGGCAAGTTGATTTGGACAAAATCCTTGCAAGATTTACAGAAGTTTGTAGAAGAAATATTGAATTTAGCTGATGGCGGTTGGTGCTGCCCCGGAGGAGGTGCTAAACAGTTTAAATCCGAAGATATTGATCTTCGATGGTATCCCGATACACAAACAATCACTTTAAACGGCAAACTAAAAGATGAAATCGGAGAGATATTCAATTCTGCTGCCCTAATATCGGGTAAGCTGGCAAATTTGGGTGTAGATGATCCGGACCCAACGCCTCCGCAAAATGTTTCGCTAAAGAATATTAATGACTTCATGGTAAATTCGAACTTGGCGGGAGTTGAAGTGTTAGATTTGGAGGACTCTCGAGCTATCAGCCTATCCGACAACGACACAACAAATGGAAGTTTTCAGGCCTGTGAAGAAAGCGTTTCATGCGATGAAGAGAGTGTGCTTCAAAATGTCGTTAAACGTTTGGATTCATTAACGCACCAATTCGAAAACCACCGAACTGAGACGTCTGTTGTTCTAAACGAACTTGTTAATATATATGAAAATCAAAAAAGTCCGACGGCAACTGAAAATCTTACCAAGGAAAATAGATTATTGAAAGAAGAAAACAAGGCTCTTCAAACAGAGCTAACAAAATGTAAAGATAATGGCAATAAAATTTTTTATTGCTTTATCTGAAAGAGCATGTAAAAATAAGCCGATTGGCCGTTTACTGCTCTATTCTATCTCATCTGGTTCCGAAGTTATACGCAAAAATGTGCAAAATATAAATTGCTGATTCAGCACAACGTGTGACGTCATTGGTAGGGTAAGTATGTTTAATGAATAGTAAACTGAAGCATAGCTCAATTATTATTGGCTCAAATTAAATGACATTTTGTATACAGATAGTACATGATGAGACGTATGGGAAAATACTTCTAATTTTGTTGTCAAGGCAACGCAGTCGTTCCCAGGCCCCTTACACTGATTTTGAATAACTAGTTGCATTTATCTATGTGTATGTCATTTTCGAATTATTATCATGCAAGTAAACTTTTGGCATGCATAGGTATGGTACACATACTTCTGACATTATTTTATTCTTATAAGTACCATGAATAAAGCTGTTTTATAAAATTGGCGCAAGGGGCCTGGGAACGACATTGTTACCTTGGCAACAAAATTAGAAGTGTTTTTCAATGCGTCTCATCATGTACAATCAGTATGCAAAATTTCATTTGATTTGGGCCCATAATAACTGAGCTATGCTTCAGTTTAGTATTCATTAAACATACTTACCCTACCAATGACGTCACACGTTGTGCTGAATCAGCAATTTATATTTTGCACATTTTTGCGTATAACTTCGGAACCAGATGAGACAGAATAGAGCAGTAAACGGCCAATCGGCTTATTTTTTCATGCTCTTTCAGATAAAGCAATAAAAAATTTTATTGCCATTACCCTTTAACCAAACTAAATACAAAGCTCACGGATACTGAAAGTGAGAAATCAAGCCTCTTAACTGTTATTAGGTTGCTGAATGAAGAGCAAGCCACTGTAATCTGTTCAAATAAGGATGAATCTAGTCAAGCGCAACAAACACGGAGCTCATGGCGAATGGCTGGCCGCAAAACCACAAGTCAAAGTGTTGGTCACCATATAAATTTGAGCAATAAGTACTCTACCTTGCAAATTGAAGACGACGATGAGGCAGTAATGAGCGGTGACGCTGGAAATAATCAAACCTTAGTTCCCAAAAAGACTCCAACTATAGACTACGAAAAGAAAAGACGATTGAAAAACACCCTAAGAAATATCCAAGACACAAAGCAAAATTCCTTACCAATCAGCAACCAACGTGATACTATCCAACCGAAGAAACAACAATGTGATGCTGCCTCCTCCGCAGGCTCCTCTATATAGATCAAATTTAAATATCGGTAATATATAGATCAAGCGACTGGGGACGAGGCAGAATGTGATGTAGCTTTGGTGGGTGACTCCATGTTGATGTTGATGTCCGAAAACTTCGTCATGGCACAAACAAACAGGTAACTGTTCGTACTTTTTCTGGGTGTAGAACCGACGAAATGGCTCACTATATAAAGCCGACACTTGCTTTAAAACCGAAGCAAGTTATTATTCATGTTGGGACGAATGATCTCAAAACAAAATCACCGGCTGCAATTATTTACAACTTAAAAAACCTGGACTACACTTAAACAAACGTGGCTCTGCTATATTAGCAAAAAATATCAAATTGCATATAATTTTTGATTTTGACTTGGTATAGACCTCCTGATTCGAATGCAATAATATTCGATTTGTTTGAAGAATTTCTGCAAAAGGCCGAGGCAGAACATAAGGAATTGATTATTCTAGGCGATTTGAATTGCGATTTGTATACAAATACGGCAAGTTCAAGTACAAAAAAAATTAATTGAATTATTGGATGTTTATCAGTTAAAACAACTCATTAAGAAACCTACACGTGTAACAGCTAAAACAAGAACATTGATAGATGTTATTATAACTCAATTGGGAAATACGAACGTTTACTTACTGCTTCTGGAGTCATACACCTTGGGATTAGCGACCATAGTCTGGTGTATACTTGTCGCAAAATTAGTACCCAAAGAGAAAAACCAAAAATTGTTGAAACTAGGCAATTTAAACATTTTAACATTCGAGCATTTGAAAATGATTTAAATCAAGCTTTTGCTGGTAATGATGTTTACCATCTTGTGACCCAAATGAGATTTGGAATGTATGGAAAACTATATTTCTCTCTTTAGCTAATAAGCATGCACCTCTAAGACAAAGGAAAGTTAGAAGCACTTATAACCCTTGGATAACAACGGAGATTAAGTACCTTAGTCACCGCAGAGATTTCCTAAAAAAGAAAGCGGTCACGCATAACTCAATCTATTATTTTAATGAGTATAAACAATGTAGGAACAATTTGAATAAAACAATCAAGGAAACCAAAAGCAATTATTATAAAAGTAAACTAAATGCATGCAAGGACCACAAAGAGAATTGGAAATTGATAAACGAATTGCTCAACAATGCATCAAAAACTACTATTTAATAGATAATTACTGAGGCCAACGGCATTATTCGATATATTGCAGCCAGCTGAGGCCGAAGGCCGAAGCTGGCTGCAATATATCGAATAATGCCGTTGGCCTCAGTAATTATCTATTATAATTACTGACCCGAATCAAAAGTAATTATTTTCAGCTGGAAGACTACGTTGCTGCTTGTTGGGACCGTATGACAATGAATCTATCCAACGTTACACTGGACATTTGTGAGGACATGCATGTAATGCATCGCGATAGAACAGATTTCAGTTTAATTAATCGCCCTAAATTAAAATCTCCACAAGCGGAGATCAATTATAGTGTTCTAGTTTACATATTATCATTAATGATAAGGTTAATTCAAAGAGCGTATTAAACTGGATAAACACAACACCGCGGAAAAACGTCTGCGCATGCACCAAATTATGAAAATATGGCGGGGAATTTGAATATCAATTTCTAAAACAAAAACATGCTTATTAATTGGTCAAAAATTAGTAAAACAAACGAGAAAATATAGCAAATGGGTAGACTAGACATTAATTGAAAGCGTTCTGGCATTTAAAGTGTGGAATGAAATATA